CCCCAAAACCCCAAAACCCCAAAACCCCTTTTGTTGGAACTTGATTGAAAGGATCGGACGGTGGCTTTTTAATTTGTGCGCAGGTTAAATAATTAATTATTAAAAATGAACGGATTTGAAGCCAGTCAGACCTTTTATACTTTCCAGGGCCAAGCCCCAGGAGATGATCACGACGAAGAAGAAACCAAGATGTCCAAGGAAGAAGCTCTTATAAAGTCCATTAGATTCATATAAGAGAATGGAAGAATGATGACAAGTATTTCTACAGGTAAGTCTTTTTCACTAAAATTCAGAGACCAACTGAATGAGAACTCAGCGAAGGACTTGTACGTGTTACTCGTAGACTTTGGAGATGTGCAAAACTTCGATAATAAACTGTCCACAATGATAAGGAACTACCCCATGGAGTACTTAAAGATTGTAAGTCTCACCGAATTATGCTTATAGTTTGAAGAAGCTTGTCAGGAAGTCTATGCTTCACTCCATTCTGAAGATCCCTATGGACCTCCTCTGTTCGAAGTCCAGGTGCGAAGCCTTGAGGACCCAAAGATGCTAAGGAAATTAGGAAGTGAAATGGTCGATAAGATGGTCGTCGTCCCAGGGATTATTACTTCAGCGTCACGAAGTCAGATTAAGGCGTCTAAGTTATCCATCAGGTGTAGGAATTGTGGGGATTCTAAGCAGATTTTGATCAAGAGTGGACTTGCAGGAGCTTTTATACCAACTAATTGTGACAGAAGCGTTCAGGAGAAGTGCCCATTGTCACCGTATTATGTTGTTCCAGAAGAATGAGAGTATAAGGACTACCAGACTTTGAAAATCCAAGAAGCTCCAGAATTAGTACCAACTGGAGAAATGCCAAGATCTTTCACTGTCAGTTGTGAAAGAAATTTGGTGGATAAGGTCACTCCAGGAATGAGGGTAGTTATTGTTGGAGTTCTTTCTATTCTCAGTCCATCAAAAGGCTTTGGGAACTCTAAGAAGTCATCAAAATTTGGTCATGGAATCAAGGTGTCATATATCAGTGCTATTGGAATTCAGAAAGAATCAGGAGAAAATTCACTAGGATTTGCACTTCCTTTACTAAAAGATGATGATAAAGAGAAAATTATGACAATGGCTAAGGACCCAGAAATTTATCACAAAATTGCTAAGAGCATCGGTGGAGCTATTTATGGAGGAGATGATATTAAGAAAGCAATAGCATGCTTGCTCTTTGGAGGATCTTCTAAGATGTTGCCAGATGGAATGAAGCTCAGAGGCGAAATCAACATTCTTTTATTGGGAGATCCATCTACAGCCAAATCACAAATGCTGAAATTTGTAGAAAGAGCAGCACCAATTGCTATTTATACATCAGGGAAGGGCTCTAGTGCTGCTGGGCTTACTGCAGCGGTTATTAAGAATTCACAGTCAGGAGAGTTTCAGCTAGAAGGTGGGGCGATGGTCCTTGCTGATGGAGGAGTTGTATGCATTGATGAGTTTGATAAGATGAGGACGGTTGATAGAGTAGCTATCCATGAAGCAATGGAGCAGCAGACGATTAGTATTGCGAAAGCAGGCATTACTACTATACTTAATTCTAGAACTTCTGTTTTGGCAGCTGCTAATCCGATAATGGGTAGGTATGATGACCTCAAGCATGCTTCTGAGCAGATTGATTTCCAGAGTGCGATCCTATCAAGATTTGACTGCATTTTTATTGTAAGGGATATTAGAGATGATGAAAGAGATAGGAAGATGGCAGGACATATCGTCTCTCTTCATGCTGGAGCTGATAATTTTGATGTTGAGAAGACTGAAATCGATATTGAGTTACTGAAGAAGTACATTACTTATGCTAAAGTTCACTGCTCTCCAAGACTTTCACCAGAAGCAGGAGCTTTACTGAAAGATTTTTATGTCAAAGACAGAACAGAGTCTGATTTCGGTGAAGGAGCGAGTTCAAAAGGTAGCAGAATTCCGATTACAGTGAGACAGCTTGAGGCAATAGTTAGGCTTTCCGAATCTTTGGCAAAGATGCAACTGAAAAATATTGTTTCAAGAGAAAACGTCGAAGAAGCTCATAGACTTTTCAAAATTTCGACCTTGCATGCTGCAAAATCAGGACTCTCAAGTAACTTTAGCCTTCCTGAAGAACTCAAAGAAGATGTGAGAAAGGTGCAGGAAATCATTAGAAGGAAGTTTGCAATCGGGTCAAAACTTTCTTACTCAAAATTGCAAGAAGAGCTAATGAGACTCTTCAGTAATCAGAGATCTGTAGAATATGCTATCTACGGGATGATCAAGAACCAAGAAATAAAGAACTTTGAGAGTAGAAGGATTCTGCAAAGAATAAAATAAGTAACCTCTAGAAGCACCACCCACTGACTGTAGGAACTAATTGAATAATTGCAATTTAAATATTTTAAATAGGGGTTTTGGGGTTTTGGGGTTTTGGGGTTTTGGGG